CTTATTGACCACACTATTTCCAAAGCTACTTGGTACCTCCCTGGATTTCACACATTTGTAATGACATTAGATATTTTCTGTACTGTCTGCATTCCATCCTGGAATTCCTAATTACCTATTTTTTAAATTTCTTATGAATTCAGATTGTATTAGGGTTCTTTAGAGGGACAGAACTAAAAGGAGATAGATGATAGATAGGCAGGTAGGTAGATAGATAGATAGAGAGAGAGACAGAGAGATAGAGAGAGATATATACACATTATATATGAAGTTTATAAAAAAGTGTTAAGCCACACTGTCACAAGGCCCCACAATAGGCCATCTGCAAACTGAGGAGCAAGGAAGCCAGTCCAAGTCCCAAAGCTGAAGAACTTGGAGTCTGATGTTTGAGATGAGGAAGCATCCAGCACGGGAGAAAGATGTGTCCTGGGAGGCTAAGCCAGTCTAACCTTTTCATGTTTTTCTGTTTGCTGTTTATTCTGGTCACACTGGCAGCTGATTAGATTGTGTCACCCAGATTAAGGGTGTGTCTGCCTTTTTCAGTCCCCTGGCTCAAAGGTTAATCTCCTTTAGTAACACCCTCACAGACACACCCTGGATCAATACTTTGCATCCTTCAATCTGATCAACTTGACACTCAGTATTTACCATTACAAGTCCACCTTTTTCGACTTTAACCCATACACATCTCCTGATATTATACATAATCTTCAAATAAAGACAATAATAAAGTCATTATTACACTTAACATACTATAATTATTCTTCATATAAGCAGAAATGCACCAATTCCCAGTCTAAATGCTATTGCATGTGGTCCACTCTCTCAAGGACACAGCCATGACCATCCTATGACTTGGTGTCTGGAAGACTCATGCACTTTTAATTTCACCTTCAATGTTAGACTCCACTTTATCACATGCAGACAGAGCAGAGTATTTTAAGACATTGATGTGTTAGGCTGAAAAATTCAACAGTACCTAAAAGTTGCCTTCACACCACATCCAGTTTTTACTGAATAAGGATCTGCCGTCCCCTAGGGAGGAGCTATGGTGGACGGGCTGCACTGATAGTGGTTATGGAAATTGATCCATTGTGGCAAATGGAAGCATTATGTTCTTTTATAAGAACAAATTGTATTCTATTTTGTATATATAACATTTTCTTTATCCATTTTTCTATCTACTAACACTCAGATAGTTTTCACTTCTTAGCTGTTATGAATAGTGTTTCAATAAACATAGGGTACAGGCACTTTATAAGGTGGTGATTTCATCTCCTTTGGGTATATTCCAAGAAACAGGATTTCTGGTCATGTAATACTTCCAGTTTTAATTCATTTAAGAGCCTTTATACTGCTTCCTGTAACTGTCGAAATGTAGAATGATATGGCCATCATGAAAAACAGTTTCAGTTTTGAGGTATGATCTATAGACCAATAATGTGTTTCTCAGTGAGATTCCTAATAAATATGATAGAAAACAAGGAAAGTTTCTCACCTCAAAGCAAGGATGGATTATAAATTTGCCTCTTATTTCCTTAAAAGCAAATGATTGGAAGCATGCATGATGAAGGTTGTTGGCAGGTTTTAGAATGATCTCATTAGAGGAGAATGTGTTGGATAATACTGTTGGGTGTTCAGTCACAGATATACGGCTACTAAACGTGAAACCAAGAAGTCAAGAGAGGATCTAGAACATGTCCAAGTGAAGAAACAGGATATTATCAAAGGCACCTATTGTTCCATCACAAGGGTGATAAACTTTTGAAACCAATAAAGTGTAAATGAACATTAAGTGATAAAGTTACCACGTTTACATGAAGTTTGTTTACTATGACAAGGGCTTCTACAGATTACTCACATACAAATATGCACAAAGTATTTTTGCAAACATAGATGTCTAGAGGATAATCCTCTTAGAGAAACTTTCAGGTTACATAAATCTGTGTTAGTTCTGGATCTCATGGGAAAGTCTTTTTGAAGACTGATCTGTTTTTCAAGCAGGGAAATCATCTCTGTTGGAGTGGGCTTCCAATTGTGTAGATTTCTTAACTGCTTCTTGAGTTGTAGACATGAACCAAAAAATTGACTAACTGGAATTTCATGGCTGTGTTGTTAAAAATTTCTTACGAGGTTTCTTTCAATGATTTGAGACCAGTTATCCTGATATATTTTTATCCAGTAGATAAATTTTCACAAGAATTCAGGAAACCACTTCTCAGGTGCTTTATTTTAAAAGACTAGCTTCTCGGGCAAAGAGACTTCTGTGTAAACATGACAAGCTCATTTCTTCTGCAAATAATTAAGTTTGAGACCTCACTGCCAAGAATCATAGAAATTTTACACTCCAATTTACTGAAAATAGTGACTCTCGAATTTAATATTGATTGGCATTGACAAAAATGTCTCATATTCAGATGTGTTCTATGTTGCTGGCCCAACATATCAGTGAGCTGATCCTCCATTAGCTCCGTCTGTCTGTAGCACTGAGTTGATTGACCATCCTCAGAGCCATCCATGAAGGACAGTCCTGAGGTTCATGGGATTCTCGTAGACACTCAGGTGAACAGAAGAAAGAAACAGGATTGAGGGCTGCCAGCCATGTCCACAACACTGGGAATAATTACCGTCTAAGTATAAAGGTCTACATCATTCAGAATTCTCTGCATGACAGGCTGACACAAAGAAATCTAACCTCACACAGGCTCCTCAGCAGCCCTTACAGTTCTTTCAGGGAAGAAATAATCTCCACGTTAAGTGAGTCATTAAAGCTGCTCTGAGCTACAGTAAAGGGAATGGGGCCCAGACTTGTCTGAGTTCAATGTGTTGTTATGCTCAGCTGCTGCTCAAATATGTAGTGAGTATGGATAATTTAAATGAGCCTGGCTGTTTTGTTTGCTATATGAAAATCTGAACCAAATAAACATAAAGGGTGTGTCTGGACTAGCATGAGGGTGAGAGATACTGGGAGACCCACCCCCCATACTCTCATCACCCTTTTCCTCCAGGAACCCCCAGGTTCTCAGGGCGGGAATCCACATAGATCTCTGAATGGCTCAATCACCAGGAGACCGAATCTCTGATAAATATACCCAGACCTTCTTTAGAAAGACAAGCCAGGGGAAGGGCATTTCTTGATCCTCCTCTCTGTGGAGAAAGGTAATCCATCCCCTTACAAGCCCATACCAGCAGCCTAACTTTATCATGAAAATGAGTAAAATTAGACAATAGGGGCACATTTAAGAAAATTTTACTTTGATATTTCGACCAGAAGAGAACAAAAATCAGCTTCCCACCTGGAGACTTCTTGTATATGGCACAGCCCAGAGAAAGAAGACCACAACAGCATTAAAATGTGACTGTAAGCACATGGAATGCTTCTGTGTTCCACATTACATTCTCACCAGGTTAGTCATTATGGATTAAATATGAGAGTGTGCCAATGCACAAACTGTATCTGAGGAAGAAAATTAAAAAAATAAATGTTAAGGAAAATAGACAAATTTGAAGCTGCTGACACCAGTAACTTTAGTAACAATAAACTGATTTCACCCTCATTGGCTCAGATTTCATTTTCATGGGGCATCTGCAGGATTCCAAAGTGAGAATAGGTGAATTCAGTGTGCGTGCTTCCCAAGGACATTCTGGTTTTTTTACATCTGTTTGAAGAAAGTAGACACATACTCAGACTTACTGTCGGTGTAGGGAGTGCTTCTCATGAGATGGATACCAGAAAAAGAGGCAAACATGGGACCAATTAATGTAAAAATTAGCTGCAACGTGTATGTGTGTGTGTGCGTGTGCCCCTGCACTTGTAGGTACAAGGATCAACTCTCAGGTGCAAGAATCAACTGCAGGACCCTAAAGGAAATAAGACTCTCCCCCAGAACCCTGAAGAGTTTTTGGATTCACCATGTCTCCAGCAATTCGGTGCCTCTTGAGCTCTAGGAAAGGTATCCCTGGTGATGTATGAGATCTTTTCTTAGGGTTACCCTGCATTATTTTCTGGGTTTCCTAAGGCCAATTCAGTATTTCAAAGGATGGTGTGTGAAGCATATGGTGTCACTAAAGGAGAATTCTGGGCCTGGGCACAGACACTTTATACTGGGCTAGAGACACTGGTAGGAATATGCCGTGTCACCTCCTTGCAGGATGGGAGCTGGGCTGCAAGGGGGCGCTCGGGACACACCCAGCACAGGCTCCTGCCCCAGAGCAGGTGCACAGGACAGGAGGCTGGGGAGGGGTTCCTCTCAGGTCCTGGAACTTCCTTTAAAAATATCTAAAATAAGTATTTCACAAGGACTGCTGATGTCCATATAAATATCCTGTTCAATTGTGAATATTTGTCAAACTGGATGTTGTAATGAGACCCACTTTCACAAAGGCGATCTCAAACTCTGCTAGACGACTTAATAATAAGAAGTTGGAGGTCAGGAAGAGAGTCTTTCTTATTTATAAGTGCCACTTTGGAATAACACACTCATTCCCAAAATAACACATTCGCATATCAAGGTCTAGAAATGGTTCAAGTTGCCCCTGAGACACTCAAATGTGGGTTCAAAGCGAGGTGCGTGTCCTGCGGGAGCCTGTTCCCCAGTGGTGGAAGTTCTGTAAACGCAGTGTTCTGGGATGTGTCAGGGACACATGGCTTCTCACAGGATTACAGCTTGAACCCTCAGCTTCTACAATTGTGTCGTCCATGTGTCATCGACTTGCTCTTTCTCTTACTGGGTCAGGAATTGTACTATTAAATAGCATCCTTCATGAATATGCAAATAACTGAGGTGAATATAGAGATCTTTGTGTCCTGAGAGCATCACCCAACAACCACACCCCTCCTCGGAGAAGCCCCAGAGCACAGCTCCTCACCAAGGTCTGGACCTGGAGGATCGTCTTCTTGGTGGCAGCGGCTACAGGTTTGGGGCTCCCCACTCCCAGGGCTGAGGGAGAAATCAGTCCAGTAAAGAGAAACTTCACCCACTCCTGTCTCCTCTCCACAGCTGTCCACTCCCAGGTGCAGCTGGTGCAGTCTGGGCCAGAGCTGAAGCAACCTGGGGCATCAGTAAGGGTCTCCTGCAAGGCTTCTGGTTACACCTTCAACAGCTATGCTATCAACTGGGTGCGACAGGTCCCTGGACAAGGGCTTGAGGGGATGGGATGGATCAACACCAACACCGGGAAGCCACCGTATGCCCAGGGCTTCACAGGACAATTTGTCTTCTCCATGGACACCTCGGTCAGCACAGCATATCTGCAGATCGGCAGCCTGAAGCCTGAGGACAGGGCCGTGTATTACTGTGCGAGAGACACAGTGTGACAACCCACATCCTGAGAGTGTCAGAAACCCTGAGAGAGGAGGCTGCTTTGTTGAGCTGAGGCCATGCTACAGGAGTTTCCTTAACTTCCATATTATCTCATTTAGCATTGACTTCCCCTTTTATATTAGCCAAGAATGTGGGATATGTGGTTGCTCCTAAGAGATCTGTAACTTGCCCATTCTTACGGGTATTCCAGAATATGTGAGAAGCCACTTTGTTTGCAAAGCATCCCAAAGTCACGCCCTGTTCCAGACATATGTGTGCCCATTTCCTGGTCTTCGGTTAGCTGACAAGCATTTATCAGTACACCTGGGCTAATTTCACATCAGGTAGAGGAATGTGTTCTAAAGGAAAGCTAACGTTGTAACAGCAATTCCTGCTTAATAACCTTCAGCTTCATTGTTGTGTGATCCATTAATTAATTATGTTAGTTCAAGGTTCACAATAGGAGTTTGTAATAAATATGAGGGATGAATAGAAGTTCCCCTAATCAAAATAAAACACTTGTGAACACTACCTTGGTATTCAGCTGTGTCTTCACCCTTCACACTGTTCACCACAAAGTAACTTTCACCTCTCCTGGAAGTTGGGTTTGTTTTCAAATTAGTTTTTTTTTTAATTTTAATATCTCAAGAATATTGTATATGACTATTTTAGCAGAAAGTGAATTATGGGAATGTGAACTAACCAACTGAAAATAAATTCACAACTAATTAAACAAGATACCAGAATGTGATTGGCTGCAGGCTTTGTTAATTCAGCAGTTAGCATACCCAGGCTTTAAATGCACATCTGCTTGTTACCTTCATGGGACAGTCAACTCCCATTATGTGAGAAACAGTGATGGCATTCCCAACGGTCATGCATAGTTATGAAAATAGACTGGGTGAAGTGAGGGGTTGTTTAAATTCCTCTGAAGTACAGCATCAACTCAGCAAACCCCCTCCTTCCCTCTGTGACTAGAGCTACCTCAGGGTGGGCAACAGAACATGTCTTTGTAAAATAAAAAGGAAAGATAAATTGATAGATAACTGACTTTGACATTTCAGATAATAATATTTTCAAAACCAAAATTTAATTAACCGAGATTGTTACCTACATCTTCACTGAAAAGTTCCTAGTTTTGTTGATTTCCATCAACACTCCAAGTGTTCAAATCTGGGCATCCAAGAGAGTCTGGGGAATAAAGCACACTGAGGGCAGTGAAACTGGTGTGTATTAAACACTTCCTTACTCAGGAGGACTCAGTACGCCCTGGCACATGGCTGCTTCTCCGAGTGACTCACAAGGACTCCAGGACTCTGCATCCTCCTCAAACATCTATCTCCCACTTGCCCTAAGTTCACGCTCTTAGTCTGTGCTCTGAACTCTTCACAGAGGTGGAAATGGGTTTTCAGATGGAACTTCCTTCTCACATCAACATGGAATTTACTATTTTATTTAATGAGCACTCTTTCCATAATGGTTGATTTATTTTGGTCTCTATTACTGGTGATTTTCAAAGGAATCTCACTTGAATCTTTAACTCTTTTGCATTTTGTCTCCAGGACAATATTGGGAAGTTTTATCTCTAACGTTAAAACATGATCTAGTGACCTGACACATTTGTAGTAAACAATACCTACAAATTCAGAAGCTCTTCATTTTTATTCCTATGAACCATAATTCTTTCTATTATGTGTATGATCATATCCTAGCATCCCTCTACATATCTGCATATAGGTCTACAAGCCTATGAATTGTTTTCTGTTAATAAAGTGTATCTCGATTCCCTTCAAAGTTCATAATTCTCCTGAGCAAGGAGCCAGAGGAGAAAGGTCTTTCTGGATCTGTTCAAACAAAAGGCCCAGAGACCATCTGGAAGGTAAGGAGCTCTCCTGGCTCTGGATGTTAAGTCTGTCTCTTCTTCTCTGGTGTTTCACAGAAGGTCAGCTTGTTTGTTCTGCTCCTAAGAAGAGAGCTCAGATTTGTCCTGATTTTAAGACACACCCAACTTCTGATGACTCTCCTGTTACCCACATCCATAGAGATAGTTTGTTTATTATATAATTCATTGAACTAATGTCAAATGTCCATGCTGCAATACGGCACACCTTAGGGTATGTCCTTGCAATTCAATGGAGAAGAAAGTCTTTCAGAGACAGATGGCTCTGAATTGGTAAATATGTGTTTGAGAGCTCTGGGCTTAAGTGTCATTGTTCAGCCATATTTCACAGGTGTGACCTGTCAGGGAATTACCAGGGTTCCCTGTGCTCTCAGAGGGGAGGGCTCACAGTTATTCTTTCTGAATCCTAGGAAAGGTAACTGCACTAATCTTAGTGATGAGACTATCCTCCAGTGCTGATCTATTACAGGGTTTTTGTCTTAAATTGTCATTGCAATCCCCAATCTACATCTTTTCACACAGATGTGTTTAGAGGTCAGGCCATATCTTCAGGGTCATTTAAGGGTAGAACAGTATTGACCCTATTCCACAATCTGTCTTGATCCATGATCACACTCATCTCCCAGACCAGCTCCTTCAGCACATCTCCCTACCTGGAAGAAGAGGACTCTGGGTTTGGGGAGGGGAGGCCCCAGGAAGACATCTGAGTTCTCAGAGGTCACAGCCAGCATCCTCCTCCCAGGGAGAGCCTGAAAAGCTGGGGCCTCCTCATCACTTTTCACTGCTCCAAAGGCACCACCCACATGCAAATCCTCACTTAGGCACCCACAGGAAACCACCATATGTTTCCTTAAATTCAGGGTCCCGCTCACATGGGAAATGCTTCCTGAGAGTCATGGATCTCACGTGCAAGAGCATGAAACACCTGTGGTTCTTCCTCCTCCTGGTGGCCGCTCCCAGACGTGAGTGTCTGAGGGGTGCACATATGAATTTATGGGGGCTGCCTCTGAGCCCAGGGCTCACCGTGTGTCTCTCTGTTCACAGGGGTCCTGTCCCAGGTGCAGCTGCAGGAGTCGGGCCCAGGACTGGTGAAGCCTTCGGATACCTTGTCCCTCACCTGTGCTGTCTCTGGTTACTCCATCAGCAGTGGTTACTGGTGGAGCTGGATCCGCCAGCCTCCAGGGAAGGCCCTGGAGTGGATTGGGAGCATCTATTATAGTGGGAGCGCCTACTACAACCCGTCCCTCAAGAGTCGAGTCACCATATCAACAGACATGTCCAAGAACCAGTTCTCCCTGAGGATGAGCTCTGTCACTGCCGCAGACACGGCCGTGTATTACTGTGCGAGACACAGTGAGGGGAGGTGAGTGTGAGCCCAGACACAAACCTCCCATCAGCGGGGCGGCGGGGCGGGCGCAGGTTCTGCTCAGGACCAGCAGGGGGCGCGCGGGGCCCGCAGAGCCCGAGGCGGGTCTGGAGCAGGTGCAGGGAGGGCGGGGCTTCCTCGTGGGCTCAGTGGGCTCCCTCCCCGCCAACACCTGAGCTGTGTCCAGGGCTCCTTTCTTTATTATCTGTGGTTCTGCTTCCTCACATCCTTGTGCCAGCAAAGAAAGGAGGAAGACAAATTTTCTGTTAACTGTTGAGGTTTCACCGTTTACTAGAGACTTTCCTGCATGCTCCTGAATGGCTCATTTCATCGTCTTTTTATATATACGACGGATTCTCACCATCTCTTGATCTGTGTCATCAGCCAAATTGTGCCTTATTTGCTGAAACCTTAAATCCGATGGATCTATATTGGAGAGAGGAATTTCAATTATATAATTAAGGTTAAATGTGGTCCTAAATGTGAGATCCTAATGCAATAGACCTGTTGTCTTTATAAGAAGAGGCAGAGACACCAGAGACCTCTCACTTCTCACGTGCACACAGAGACGGGCCATGTGGAGACATGGTGCACTAGAAGGTGGCCCTGTGCAGCCAGGAAGAAGCCTCACCAAGGACCAACCCTAACGCACCTTGATCTTGGACATTCAGACTGTGCAATTGTAAGAAAATCAATATTTGTAGTTTGAGCCACCCACTCCTGTTATCTTCTTATGAAGCCCCATACATACTAATCCCACACAACTCTCTTATCTCTGTACCCTGTGGGGAGGAGCAGCCATCTGAGGCCAGGCACATCTCTCAGATTTCCATTTGAAGTAGACAAAAATAGTAGCTCTCATATAAAAACGTGTCATGGCCCCGTCGGCCATTTTTGGGCAAGGTCTCTGAAACTCTCCCTGGGTTCTGTGCCATAAAAGTTGTCCTTCATCTTTTGTCTGGACGTAACAAGTGGATAATGAGTACCAGCTGGATGGAGACCAACCACTGACCATTTCTGCTGTCTCCTAAGTATGGCACAGAGGACCACACCAACATCACCATTGTTCAACTTCCTCAAACAATAGAAATAATCCCTAAAAGTATAATCTATTTCTTCAACTTTCTAAAATTGCACCGAATCTCTTCCTAAATGAAGAGCTACATGGGGTCTGAGTTTTTCCCTGCCTCCCAGACTTCTCCAAATACCAACGACAAAATAGACTTTAAATAAAATTTGGTTCTCAATGCCCCCAACCTCACATCACTTTCTAATATCCATATCCTGCATCCATCCTTCTGTGGACACCCCCCATCAGGCTTCCCAGGAATTACCAGAAGCTGGCATCAGCTTCTGAGCTGAAGCCACAGGTTACACACAGATGTGATTTCAGTTACACTGCAGGACCATACCTGTGTTCTGAGAGGTTCAGGCACCTGCTGATCTCAGTCATTCTCTAATAAATTGCACACCTTTTATTGGTGAAGTTCCAGATGGCCCCATCAGCTGCAGAGCAGTGGAGTAAACAGGTGGGTCAGTCAGGCAGAAGTCAGACAATGGGATGGGTAAGCGGATCACTTCTATTGTGACTAAGGTTTCCAGTGGATTTTAACGGAATAAAATAATATGAACAACAGAAGGAGAGAAAAGAAGACTGGCTCTTGAAGGTACTTAAGGTCTAGTAACTTTATTTGGGGGCCAGTGAAAGACACTTTTAAAGGGAAAGCTCTAAAGCACATACAGCAGCTGAAGGCATGGCCACGGTGCACAGGAAGGCTGAGGAGACCGACGGTAGGGTACTTTCCTCCAAGATGTTCCTGGGTGTGCGACGGTTGGACTCCTCATGCATATGAAATAAGAGCTGGACTCCGGTGGATACAAGGGCCATCCCCCATAAGAAAGGAAGAGAGAAACAGAGATGAGCACCCCTGGAGAGAGCTTGTTAGATTTGGGGGGTTAAAGATGAAAATTTATTCCAAAGCTTTTAATGTTTTAAGCTAACAATGAATCTCTTCAATAAACTGAGAATTAAAAGGAGAATGGAGTTAGGACTTAAGAGAGGAAACAAATCATAATAGAGCAGAAAGCAAATCTGCAAAAAACTGTCACATGACAGAGGCCAGAGCAGAGCTGATGCAGCTACATCGTTATTCTACAGACCTAGTTGACAATGGGGAGAAGGAGCCTGAACACAGGGGGACATTCTCCAACCTTCCAAATCCACCTCCCTCTTATGCATGAGCAGTAATCATGGCTCCGGGGTGAGCATCCAAATTTTCCTGTCCTTACCTCCACCCCCGGGGGTAGAGTTTCCTTTCCCAACCACAATGTTTTCTCACCAGCGTCCTCAGCTTCTCATCCATTGTACTTACCCTGCAGATTAAGGATTTTTTTCTGAATCGAGTTTCCTGGGAATCCTCTGTTTTATTTTGTTTCTGTTGGCTTCACCACAGCCCACAGGGTGCAGGTTTTAGTGGATTTCCCCCGGGGATAGTGGAGGTGAATCCAGGCATTCAACAGTCCTCGCTGTTCTTCTCTCCCTGTCAACACGACAGGACAGCGGATAAGGTAGTTCACTGTGGATTTTTCAAATTAATGGCAACAGCCTGCAAGGACAAGTAGTTTAACACTCTAACACCATTAGCACATGCATGCAAAAAAATCTCACTAAATATGCCCAGTTTAGCCTGTTCCTTTCTCACTGCCATCCAGTGGCACCTGCCCTAGGGTTGACAGATAAGTAGAGGTTTGTTAACAAATGCACAATTACAAGTAAACAGGGATACACTCTAGTGTCCTACAGTGCAGTAGGGTGACTACAATCAACAATATATTGTACATTTTATGTTTACAAGTAGCCAGAAGTGAGAATTTTGTATGCTACCAACACAAAAAATCTTAGTGTCTGAGCTGATGAATTTGCTCATTGTTCTGATTTGGTCAAACCACATGGCACAGATGTATTGAAATATCACACTGTACCCCATAGATATAAATAATCACTATCTGCCAACTTAAAAAAAGTCCTTTAATTAAAAAGGATTGTATTGGCATACATTACAAATCATTCAACATAGCGCCAGGAATAATACCATTTGTATTTGAAATAGTGAATTTCTGCAATGGGGTAAAGGAGGTGGGTCTAAATGCATTTCAGAGTGTGGGCTCTTTTTCTCTCCCAGACGGACACATTGGACAGAAAGATTTTTGTTACTCTCCCCATTTTTGGGAAAAGGGATTCAAGAGGCTAGGAAAGCTCTTTAGTATGTGGTCCCTGAGAAATTTACACTTCAGCACGTTTACCACAGTTGACTTCAAGCAATCCAATATATGTGTGTGTTTTTCTCTTATAATAGCTACATTTTATATGCCAGGCTGCCCCAGTTCAACCTATATCCTGGTTTTGTTACTTTCTACAGGAACTTACCTCTACCTAGATTTCAGATTTGACATTTATATTAAAACTTCAAGTGTTTAGAGTGTTTTTAAAAATTTGCAGATTTCCACCTTCTCTGTTTATCTGTTATTGTTGATGTTGTTGTTGTAAAAAAAAACATAAATAAAATATATTCCTCACCTATGTACATTTCAAAGCAGACTTGCAGATTTTTTTAGTAAGACTCAGAGTAATAAAATAATGCAAATGTTATTAAGCTGTTTAATAGAAAAATAAATTATGGTAAATGTGTTTAACTGGAATACTACCCATCATTTGTGATAAAAGAATGCCTTATAGGCAGAACAACAAGGTAAAAGATCTAAGTATTTATGTTGAGTAAAATAAGCCAAATACGTAAGAATATATACTACATTATATCATATTTATGAATTCTAATAAGTAAAAATGCATCTAAAGTAATCTAATGAAGGTCAGTAGTTACTTGGGGAAATGGGTGAAGAAGGGAAGGGGAGAGAAGGAGGAATATAACAGAATGACAGGAAATGTTGAGACAAATTCACTTGTCCACTTTCTTGATAATGATGGCAGTTACATCATGTTTATTGATTGTATATTTAACATATGTGAAGTTGTTTATCTTTCAATTACAATCCCATAAAGTGTATTACAAGCAAACAAATGAAAACTTAGACATGGAAGGAGTAATAGAAACGTGGAAAAACATGTTAAATGTCAGAACTACTTGAAAATGTGCTGAACCCTATTTCTCTCCATATTTTCAAATGGGTTCTCTCCATATTTGCAGAAAGTGGTTTCTGAAAATCACACTAGAAACATCCAGCTTTGTCCTGGAGTTGGTTAGGGAGGAGTCACAGCCAGGGATGAGGAGCACAAGGCCAGATACCAGGGTTCACTCATCCCAGAAATGAGCTTTTAGATGCATACAGAGCCCCCTCCACGTGTGGGCTCACTTCCACATCTGTAATGGAGAAAATATTGACTCCTACATAACACAATTTACACAATATTTAAACATGAAATAGGGTGATCAGGGCAAAGTGTTTGTCACAGCACAATTTCATAAAGAACTCATATGTTCTGAATACCATCGTTATCAGCAAACTCCTGCAGGACACTGTCATCTTCTCTGGGCACAGCCTCCTCCTCAAGCGTCCCACCCTAGAGCTTGCTATATAGTAGGAGACATGCAAATAGGACCCTCCCTCTACTGATGAAAAACAGCCCAGCCCCGACCCTGCAGCTCTGAGAGAGGAGCCTTAGCCCTGGGGTTCCAAGGTATTTCCACCTGCTGATCAGCACTGAACACAGAGGACTCAGCATGGAGTGGGGGCTGAGCTGGGTTTTCCTTGTTGCTATTTTAGAAGGTAATTCATGGAAAACTAGAGAGACTGAGTGTGTGTGGACACGAGTGAGAGAAACAGTGGGTATGTGTGGCAGTTTCTGACCAGGATGTCTCTGTGTTTGCAGGTGTCCAGTGTGAGGTGCAGCTGGTGGAGTCTGGGGGAGGCTTGGCAAAGCCTGGGGGGTCCCTGAGACTCTCCTGTGCGGCCTCTGGATTCGTCTTCAGCAGCTACCACATGCACTGGGTCCGCCAGGCTCCAGGGAAGGGGCTGGAGTGGGTCTCATTCATTAGTAGTGATGGGGGTAGCACATACTACGCAGACTCCGTGAAGGGCCGATTCACCATCTCCAGAGACAACGCCAAGAACTCGCTGTATCTGCAGATGAGCAGCCTGAGAGCCGAGGACACGGCCGTGTATTACTGTGCGAGACACAGTGAGGGGAGGCCAGTGTGGGCCCGGACACAAACCTCCTGCAGGGGTCCCCGAGACCGCCAGGGGGCGCCCGGACGCTGCGCACGGGGCTGTCTCGGGGCAGGTGCAGGTGCAGCTGAGGGCTGGCTTCCTGCCGTGGTCTGGGGCTGCCTCGTTGTCACATCTCCCCAGGGAACCTCCCAGAGTCATAATTCTGTGTTAACATCTGATGTCTCTAAAGGCAAAACTTCCTTTTTTCTTTTTTCTTTTTGTTTTGTTTTTCAACAGGAGAATACATCCTCAACTTCACAGAAGCTACAGCGTCACTTTGGGGGCAGAAATAATCCTTTCGTGGTCAACAGGAGGAGAGTCCTGAGGAATCCCTGGGAAACCTGGGGAGTGTTTTCCAGTTGGACTCAGGGCAGAAACCTCCATGGGACTCTCTGATTAGATCAGGCTTTGAGTTTTAATGGAGCCAAGGGACAAGCTCATCCAGGTTCAGGGTCCTTAAAACCTGAGGGTTTCATAGCTTTTCTCCCTCGTCTTGTAAAACGGTGCACATCTGACTCAGACTGATTCAGTTAACCCTCTTTCTGCTAATCAATTTTGTTCTCTGTAGACTTGATTCTCACAGTTCCCTTTCTTCTCTTCCCTGAAAACAGAGGATGTGTTTTCTATAACCTAAATCCCAGGAGCTCAGGTCTGCAGGACATGGGTAGGCTGAGGGACTTTCTCACTCCCTATTGCCTGGACAATCCTGTTGTCTTCTGTGCATGGAGGTATTTGGGAAATGAAGTAGACATTAGCCATGAAGGGAATAATATTAGTATTAATATTATTATTAATAATATATAGTATAAGAGGGTTAACTGAATCAGTCTGAGTCAGATGTGCACCATTTTACAAGACGAGGGGGGACAGCTGCAATACCATCATGTTTTAAGGACTATGACCCTGGGTGAGCCTGTCTCTTGGCTCCCATCAGAACTCAAACCCTGTTCTAATCAGAGATTCCCATGGAGCTCTCTGTCTGCCCTGAGTCCATTAGTATTGAGAAAATAGGGGCCTGACGAGGGAACTAGGGCTGATTTATTAGAGTACGTGGTGCAGGTGCCACTCACAGCATAGTATTTAAGATAAGAAAAAGCTAACCTGGGAATGGTTAATGAGTTGCTTGTGGACATGTGTGCTAATGATGTTAGAGTGTGAAACTCCCGGCACTTTCAGGATTTTCCTGAAGAATTGGGAAAATCCCCAGACAATTCACCCACCTACTGTCTTGAGGTGTTGACTGGGGAGGAAAAAACAGAAGCTCTGTTCAATGCTGAGTCCCCATTTACTATGTGTGGGAGGCATTTATTAAATCTTGTGTCCTGTGGCACTGGTAGAATCAACTAGAACACAAGGAAACAGAGGACACCAAGGAAACTCTACCCAAAAACACCTCCCCTCTCTTTCATGAGGAATGAAATCCTGAATAAGTGGGGCAAGGACAGTGGGTCAGAAGCTGTGGACACTGATGAGAAACCACTGTGGCTGGGAAGAGACACTCTGACACTTGGGGAAGGGAAGGAACAGGAACGCTTGGAAGGCCGTGCTTCAGAGCCAGTCTCACCACCATAGCTAACAAGGAGGCTCAGGCAGGAGTTTGGAGAACATCCCCCTGTGTCCACAATCACCATGTAAAAATGTCATCAAGATGCACCTTACACAGCTGAAATAAGTTTTATGGAGACAGAGAGCTATCCCAGGTGGGGGAACCTCGCTTCCCTGTCAGAGATTGATGCTCAGCTGTAATTGAGGGATTCGTAATTAAAGCACCTAGAAGCCTATCTCAGCACAGCTCCATTATGTAACTTACCACCACTGGACTGCAAGTAACACCTCAAGCTTGATTGTTCTGACCCTATTTTCTCAGAAGTTTATGGACTCACTAGAAATAATACAAAATTTGTCAGTTTTTGGAAATGTAAATGAATGCCCATACTCTCTGTGTGTGTGTGTGTGTGTGTGAGAGAGAGAGAGAGAGAGAGAGAGAGAGAGAGAGAGTCACTCATACCTCAATGAACAGGATTACTGAATTATATCATCAAACTACAATTAAAATTGCTCAAAATTGCCTGCAGTAATATCTGTGAAGCTGATCCTGTCACCTTGCTGTGAGGATGCTCAGTGCACAGGTGAGGTCTCACAGAAAAATCCAAGGTGCAGCGCCAAGGCCTGGCAGAAATCCTGTCCTGGAGCCAGACATACGACTGAGTGTCTCAGAAGCAGATCCCCAGCCCTCTTATCTGGGCTGCATGGACAGCAGAGAGCCAGCAGGAAAGGGTCAGAACTCACCCAAACAGAGCCCCAATTAGCAGCAGATACAGAGAGGAACCAACCAGAGAACCTATGACCACAATCCAGAGTGGTTTTCTTTTGCTTAACAGCACCCAATTCTAAGAAGACCACCCACTAATCATCTGTAACTCATAAGTTTCTGTTAAAAAGTAAAACAGAAGTAAACATTACTCTCCATTTAACTCCTTGAACCTGGATCATTTTTCTGAGAATGGCACCATCTTCAATATGATGTTTATCAAGTCAAAATCAACATGCATATGTAGTCACCATGAAGACTGTTTTATCTCGTAGTAAAAAGGTTTCTTCAATTAAAGATTACATTTCTTGGAGAAAAGCCTGTATTAGTTCATCCTCACACTGCTACAAAGATATCACCTAAGACTGGGTAATTTATAAAGAAAATAGGTTCAATTCACTTACAGTTCTGAATGGTTGGGGAGCCTCAGGAAACTTGCAATTATGGTGGAAGGCGAAGGGTAACAGGTACCTTCTTCACAATACAGCAGGAGAGAAAGAAAGAAGAAGGAGGAGGAGGAGGAGGAGGGGAGAAGGAAGGAGAAGGAGAAGAAGATGATGACGGAGGAGGAGGAAGAGGAGGAGAAGGAGGAGGCACAAACTTACCAAACAACCAGATCTCCTGAGACCTCTATTGGGAGAAAAGCCTGGCGGAAACCACTGCCAGAATTTAATCACCTCCCACCAGACCCCTCACCAGACACTTGGGCTTTTACAATTCAAGATGGGCTTTTGGTGAAAACACAGAGCCAAAGCATATCAGGATTTCTAGTTGAGAATTGGTCAAGTAATAAGTTATTAATGAAGTATCAGAAGAATAAATGACGCTATTGTTGTTACACAGTTAATCTGTAAATCATCTCAATACTCATTTTATGAGAGATCTGAGAAAAGTAGGAGATGGATAGATAGAAAATTAATTCAACCAAGTTTTATATACGTATACACACATATATATTATATGTAGTACAGAAATAGTATTTAATATAGTATTTCATAGAATTAATATTATACCTGGTATTACATATACACATAAAGTATTTGATAGAATTTATATATATACCATATATATAGTATATATATATATATATACCATATATATAGTATATATATATATACTATATATATAAATATATATACACACACACCCTGACATACACTCTATGATGTCTATAAAAATGTCTCCTGGGATTTAGTGTTAACTTTTGCATATCTATGTATATTCCAGGATAAATATTAGTGGACATCATAAAATAGATTCTAATATTTATGTGCAAGATGATCACTTTCAAACACGGTTTAACAACAGAAACCAGATGAATCTTTCTACCAGAAATTACTGAAAAACAGTAAAATTTCTTAAACATGATTTTAAGATGCTTGACATCAGGCAACAAAGACAGTGATTACTGAGAGAGAGGAAATAAGAAAAAGGAGCCCTTTGATTAATGCACACTCATATACTTCCTTAAGGGAGAGGACAGGCTACATTCCTGGAGTGGAACCATGTGGATTTAGAATTAATAAAAATCTCTCATCCCAGGTATTCTTCTACAACAATTAAATAATTGCTCCAACAAAGAAAGTACTTGATTTTAAAGATGATGAGGGTGGAATCATCAGAATGAAATTAGTGACCTCATAAGTAAAGACAACAGAGTCTCTTTTTCTCCCTGTCTCTCTGTCTCTCTCTCTCTCTGTCTCTCTCTCTCTCTCTCTCTCTCTCTCTCTTTTTCTTTCTCTCTCTCTCTTTCTCTCTCTCTCTCTCTCTCTCTCTCACACACACACACACACATGCACACACGCACGCACCCCACAATGAAAAGGTCATGTGATCAAGTAATAATATGATAACTGCGATGAGCCAAAAGCAGGGACCTCAAAATAAAACATATCTTATTAGCATCTTGATCCTGGAGCTCCCAGCACTGAGAATTTAGATAAAATTAGTGTTGCATGAGTCACCAATTATGATAGTTTGCAATGACAGCTTAAATTGACAAAAGCCAATCTGTGATTAATAAGTGGGATTCTGATGTTATAACTATTTAAACATTGTAAAAGTAACTTGAAATTGGGATGTGTATAAAAAGATGTATACCTTTTTTATACATGAAGACATTTGCATTTTGAAGTCTATTCTGATAGGTAGAAATGAGTTAGTGGTTTTGGAAATTGAAAGAATCGTGATTGTTATCATAAAGTTCTTAAAAAGGACTTCGCTGGACTGTGTTATAATATTTAGTGAAAGAGAATGTGTGAGTAGTGATAACTTGGGAGTAGCTAAGAATAATTCTAAGTAAAGTGTTGAAGATATTTCTTGGTTCCTCCTTAGTGCTTATAATAAAATAGAAAGATAAATTAATATCAGGAAAAAATTATAAACCAAAAAAATACAAAAATTGAGGGCTTGGAAACCCTATCCATATAATTTTTTTAATTGCATTTTAGGTTTTGGGGTACATGTGAAGAACATGCAAGATTGTTGCATAGGTACACACATAGCAGTGTGGTTTTCTGCCTTCCGTCCCTCGCCTGTATCTGTCATTTCTCCCCATGCTATCTCTTCCCACCTCCCCACCCCCCATCCCTCCCCCATTTCCCCCCAACGGACCCCAGTGTGTAGTGCTCCCCTACCTGTGTCCATGTGTTCTCATTGATCAACACCCGCCTATGAGTGAGAACATGCGGTGTTTGATTTTCTGCTCTTGTGTCAGTTTGCTGAGGATGATGGTTTCCAGGTTCATCCATGTCCCTACAAAGGACGTGAACTCATCGTTTTTGATGGCTGCATAATATTCCATGGTGTATATGTACCATATTTTCCCTAACCAGTCTATCATCGTTGGGCATTTGGGTTGGTTCCAGGTCTTTGCTATTGTAAACAGTGCTGCAATGAACATTCGTGTGCATGTGTCCTTATAGTAGAACGATTTATAATCCTTTGGATATATACCCAGTAATGGGATTGCTGGGTCAAATGGGATTTCTATTTTTAGGTCATTGAGGAATCGCCACACTGTCTTCCACAATGGTTGAATTAATTTACATTCCCACCAACAGTGTAAAAGTGTTCCTATTTCTCCACATCCTCTCCAGCATCTGTTGTTTCCAGATTTTTTAATGATCGCCATTCTAACTGGTGTGAAATGGTATCTCAAGGTGGTTTTGATTTGCATTTCTCTAATGACCAATGATGATGAGCATTTTTTCATACGTTTGTTGGCCTCCTGTATGTCTTCTTTTTTAAAGTATCTGTTCATATCCTTTGCCTATTTTTGAATGGGCTTGTAACCTATCCATATCATAAAAATCAGAAAGTGTATTCTAAAAAGAACACTGAGTATGTGGCTGGAATATCACTCAGTAAGAAGCTTATGTTATTACAAGAAAATAAATATTTCAGGTTTTAAAGAATGAGGATTGACACCAGATGAATTCGATCACCACTGTTAGAATTGTTTTATTTAACAGACCAGAATAATGGCTGGCTGTAAATGTGCACCATTCTTCCAGAAGGGAGAAAAATTAACTTTAAATTTATTTTGAAACCGCTGGGACCGCTGCCTTTATTTCAAAAGACCAGAAAGCCTGTTTCCAAAACCTTGAGAAAAAAACCACCCAACAGAGACTTGGGCTTGGGAACACCCAGCAAGCCCTGTGTGAGGGCTGCACGAGGCTTTGAGATGAGACCTTGGCCTAGCACTGCCTCAGGAGCGGTGGCTCTGCCCGAAGCCTTGGAGGTGATTTCGCTGCCCCAATAAGCTAGAAAGGACACCGATTTAGCCAAATAAGATCACACTGGAGCCTTAAAGCCTATGGCAACTTGTTTTCCTGTGTATTATATTTGCTGCGGATACACCACCCATGTTGTTTTGTCCCCTATTTTTTTCCTTTGGCAATGAAACTGTCTATTCTATGCCCAATTCATCATTACATTTTGAAGTTACATAACATTTCTGGTGATCTGAACTGAATGAGTATATAAGCCCAAAATTAATATTGTATAATCCTAATCTCCAGTGTGATGATATTGAGAGTCTGTGTCATTTGAGAGATGATTAGGTGAAAATACTGAAGCCACCATAAATGGGATTTGTGCTCTAATAACAATATATGAGAAAGATTTTCTGTTTTGCTTCTCCATCATGAGATAATACAATAAAAATACAACCATCTGCAAACCAGGAAGGAAGCCCTGACCAGACACCTGATCATCTGTCTTGGGCTTCCCAGTCGTCAGACCTGCAAGCAACATTTGTGTTTTGCTTAAGTCACTCATTCTGTAAGAGCATGTTATCACAGGCAAAATAAAATATCTGCTTTTAAAGCTTCAAAGTGGAAGAGAAATTTATTTAAAAATAATTGTACCTCAAATCTCACCTATATCTGATTCAGCTTAAAGTTTAAAATATGAATTAAATATTGAATTTAAAGTTAATGCCTGGATGAATTAAGAACAATGAGACTGTCAGAATGGAATAAATAAACTGTGATTGTATAACTGGTATGAATTTCTGAGAGAAATATGTACAGAATATTATGAACTGAGTTGTGTTTCCCCAATGCTTATTATAAATCCTTTACCTTCAGGGAGATGATATTTGAACATGTCTTTGGAAGGCGATTATTTCTAGTTGAGGTTATAAGAAAGGATACCTCATGATGTGATTCCTACCTTTACGGAAAGAGAGATCAGAGAGTTCATTGACCAATGTGCTTTAGTGTTTCATGAGGGTTTTCTTCTAGTTGTTTCATAGTTTTGGGTCTTCTGTTAAATTCATTTGATCTATATTGATTTGACTTCTGTATACGGTAAGAAATAGCAGTCCACTTTCATTCTTCTGCAAAAGCATTTGCAGCATTTCCAGAAACATTTATTGATGAGAGTGCCCCTTTATCAATGTATGTTCTTGGAACTTTGTTGAAAATAAGTTAGTTTTTAATGTCTGCATTAATTTCTGAGTTTTCTGTTATGTTCCGTGTGTGTGTGTGTGTGTGTGTGTGTGTGTGTGTGTGTGTGTGTGGTGTGTTGGT